GCCTAGCTGATTATATGTAACTGTTTTTTTCTTATGTTAGATTTTGGTCACGTTCAAGGTTTACGGGTAGAGCTGTATGTGACACATTAGTCAATAATATGTCTGAAGCTTTTAACAGTGTCATATTACATGCAAGAGGTAAGCTCATCATTACAATGATGGAAGACATTCGTTTGCATCTCATGAAGAGATGGTCAAACAAATAGACAGAAAATCACTACATTGAAGGTCATCTTTGCCCAAAGATAAAAAAAGATTGCAAAAGAATTGCACTGATCAATTTGGGCTACCTAGGGATGTGACATCTGCACATACGAATTTGGAATTTAAGTTGATGTATAATTTTGTTTCGATATATATTATTAAATTGGTTGTATTGAGTTGGGCAGGAGATAAAATATGAGGTCGACACACTTCAATGATGGTGAGAAGTATGTGGTGAATATAGAGACCAATGGATTGTACGTGCAGAAAGTGGACTTAACAGGAAGGCCATGCTGATCATGCTTAGCGCATATATATATAAAGACAAATGATAATAACACGAAAGAGAACTCGTCCCTTACAAATTATAGAAACCGACAAAAACTAGAATTTATTGATACAGGTAAAGGCAAAATAACATTTATACTCTAAAAAGAACAACTAATCAATAATATTTTTAAACTTTAGAATATAATTTATAGCAAAAGAGTGAAAAAATAACAAGATAGACATGAAACTGTGAAAGAAAAAGGAAAAAGAATTTTTTTTTCAAAAATAATATGATTAGCCTCATTTAAGACATATATAAATGATTAGTTTGTTGATAAGGTACATCAGATTTAACAATACTTATCTTCAATCGATTTGGAAACATTATATGTAAAAGATATTTCATAAGGTTGTGTGAATTGATTTATATACTAGTTTAGCCTTTTTACTTACCCACCTATATTGTAACTATTATCTACGTAGCCCAAAAAAACTATATTTTTTAAAATTGAGTTATTATCAAATATTATAGGTAACATTTTTTATAAATTAAAAATAATTTTTTTAAATATTTTTATTTATTTATTTATTTATTTATGTTTGACATAGGAAAGATAAAACTCAATGAAACGAATTTTCACCTCATGCGAAGAAAATAATTATATTTAAAAGATAAAAGAATCCATCATATATTATTATTCACTTGTGCTTAGAGTATTAGCCATTAAAAATACTTATCTAACTAGTGATTAATACTATAATAAATAACTCTTATACATATTCATCACAATAATATATCTCTATTCTTTTCATATATTCAAATATGTTTTAAATTTTTTAAATATTCAATAAATGTTTGAAATTGAATTAAATACATGATTCAATAGCTAAAAAACATTTAATATTAAAATTATTATTTTATACTCAAGCTTCTTTCCAATCTAAATCTATAATTTATTTGAAAGTTCTGTTAGATAAATGCAGGATTGAAAAAAGCTATCAGCAAAAAAGTTTATTAATAATATTATAACTTACTGCGAAAAGTAGAACTATGAAGATGAAAAGTATACTTTGACACCCTCATTTTCTTCGACTTCCATTTTACACCATCTTTTAATAATAAAATATTATATTTCATAAATAAAAAGAAATATGAACAAAATTTTAAACGGATGTACTTTATACGAATATATTTTAGAAAAAATAAAATACGATAAAATTAAGAAATATTACTATAATAACAAAACAAAAAATAAGCATAGAAAATAAAGAGGCTGAGAGATATGGATAAGTGAAGAGTTGCAGGAAGTAAGACCAAATAGAAAAAGAGCCCTTCGCAATGAAGAAAGCTTCTATGGAATTGCCACCATGAAACCATTCCCGCCACGTGTCACAACCCCAGATGCTCATCAGCCTCTCCAACACCATGTGAGAGAGTGGCACGTCATCATGCCTATCTAAACCTACCAATCCTCGTTTCACTCTTCCAAACGTAAATTGAATTCTTCAACTTTTTCTTAGACAACAAGTCAAGCATGACGTTTGTACTCACAAAACATACAAACATCCAAATCAAACAGCCGCAACATAGGAAAATCCAAAACCTCTCTAAAACCCTCCAACACAATTTGCTACCAACTATTTCATATCCCAACACCAACTACTACAAGGAATCATATTGCATGCTACATGCTTCTTCCATAGCCGAAGCGCATGAAGACCAATACTAACATTTCTGGGTCAGTAGCTCACTTCTTCATTCATCTCAATTTGCTGTTTTTCATCTAAACTTCATCTGGGTTTTATTCTGTTTCGTTCATTTCATCCTTTTATTTTCTCTGTGCTGCTTTTTTTAGTCAAGACAAAATTTGTTTACTTTCTGTCACCCAATCAGATTTCGTGCATAAAAAATCATGTTGTTGCTATAGTTTCTGAGAAAATGAATTGAGAAGTCTGTAAGTTTATCATATATCTCGATATGTGATTAGACGACAGCATAAAATCTTTTACGCTATCATGTCATACGCGGATTACTGTAATCAGTTTTTGATTACTGCATAAGCTTTGTTTTTGTATGTTTCTATATAAAAATTTCTTTGTTTGAGTGCAAAGTTAAGGTTTTTATTTGTTGGTTGGAATGGGTGCAGGGAGAGGAAATCGCGTAAGAGGCGCAGTAGTGGAAGTGATTCTTTGGAGAACACTCTTGAAAAGTGGAAGGAGTATAACAGGCAGCAACAACTTGGGTCAAGAGAGAATGGGGTGGAAGTGATTCAGAAAGCTCCAGCAAAAGGGTCGAGAAAAGGGTGCATGAGAGGTAAGGGAGGGCCTCAGAACTCCGATTGCAAGTTCAGAGGTGTGAGGCAGAGAATTTGGGGAAAATGGGTTGCTGAGATTCGTGAACCAATCAATGGCAAGCTTGTGGGTGAAAAAGCAAATAGACTTTGGCTTGGTACTTTCTCCACCGCACTTGAAGCTGCTCTTGCTTATGATGAAGCTGCTAAGGCCATGTATGGCCCTTCTGCGCGTTTGAATTTTCCAGACCCTTCTGTGGAGCCAATACACTCTAACGGATCATCATCATCTAGTGGATGTGATAAAAAATCACCTAGTGGTTCTTCAGAGAATGACGGTGATGTCGAAAGAGCTGAGTCGGAAAGGAACCTTCATCAGCCTAATGAAGAGAAACCAAGATTTTCTGAGGTTGGTGTTTTTGAGGTAACACAAGAGAAACTGGTTCTTTGTGGAGGTTGTGTAGCTGATGACTCGATAGAGGAGTTGAAGGAAATGACAAGTGGCTTTGAACAATGTCAAACAAGTGAGGAATGTAAGGCAATAACTTCGGAGAATATTAAGTCTGAAATACCTGAAGAAAGTGAAGGGATAGAGAGAGAATTGGAGAGGGTTCTGAAAAATTCTGGCATAGGTGAAGAGGATAATCTCTTGCATAATGAGCCTTTGGACATAGCAATGAATACAGGAGCTAACTACTGTAGCTCTTCTGATGCTGCTGAACATGACATTGTGGAGAAGAGTGAAGAAACAAGAGGAGAATCAGTTGAAACTTTGAAACAATGTGAGTTAAGCTGCAGCAACCATTGCCTTGGATGTATGCATAACATGCTGCCAGATAGCAATTCAAAACCACATTCTGAGCACTTTAATAACGACCGATCTGAGGCATCCATAGCAAGAAAACATACCGAGGAAGTAATTTCTGAAATCCTGGGGCTGTGTCACAGCAAGTGCTTGAAGATTAATCATGATCAGTCACCACATGAGCATTATAGAACTGAACATTTTGATGACACGAGAACTAAGCTTAAGTGTTTGGAATGCAAGCTGAGAGCACATTCTATTCATTACAAAACTCAGGCACCCATAGTTGGGGATTCCAATTATCCTTCAATGCAAGGAATTCATATGTTTGGTAGTGGCACTGTTGGACCAATTGAAAGCATGTCCCAAATTGATGCTATGAACAACATCAACACAAGCAGAAATTCCCTACCTGGATTTAGTTCTGGGCACAGTAGGAAGTTGTGTGATCTTTCTCAGCAGCTACACAAACTTGGTGGTTGCCTTCCAGAGCATTGGAATAATATGCAGTTTGCAGACTTGGAAGTGGGTTATGATTATAGTTTCTTAAATCCTGATTATGATTTTGGCTTATTGGAGGAGAAGAAGTTACTTGATGTATGCTTTCCCCAAATAGGATCCTAGTATTCCTGAAGACTTGCAGAGTTTGTTTTTCGCTTTGGTGGGGTTACTTATAGCATGTTTTTCCCCCACCTTGCGATTCAATAAGTTATGTTTCTGTTCTCATTCACTATAGAGACTTTGTAGTAAGAATTTTGTATCATGTTAATAATGTTGAACTACGATGCTAGCTTATAATCTTAAACTGAATTCCCACGTACATTATGGTTGCCACTTCCCATAAAGTTATATTTGATATCTTAAAGTGCATGCTTCATGACCTTTTAGTACAGAAGGCATACTTTTATTTTATTATTACAAGCACTAGCTTTTGGTCTAGACAATAGTGGGACTAATTCTTTCAAGGTTTTATTTTTCCTAACTTGAACTTAAGCCAAGAAAAATTAGAGATGTGCTATCTAAACTGACCACTCGTTACTAAACAAACTTAATAAATATAATTTATTTACTGCTAAAGAAGATCTCCAAAATTTCAATTCAACTTTAATATTATTTGAACATGTTTGAAAATTAATAAATCGACTGGTAAGAATTAACATTTGATCTTAAAAGAAAAAGGTTAAACTCTTTCGACAAGAATAATTTAATTTTTAGTTTTAACCAAAGAGAAAAATCATTTAACTTTTCATACGATTGTTAAGATTATCTTTGATGAAAACCTTAATGACTATATTGACCACTTAAAGTTAATAACAACTATTTACTTAATAACCACTCACTGACGTTGATTAATAAAAATAAGTAATAATGAAAGAAAAATTAACCAGATGTATATGAAATCGTTAACAGCTACTACAACTGAATGAACAATCTTAATAGCTTGAAGAGTAATGATAACCATTAACAAAGTTGTACATACTACATATAATACCGACCTAACTTGAATAGCAGCAAAGGACAATTCAGAGTACCTATTTTCACTTTACATTGCAGCCTTTACCAATGAAAATATACAAAATTCTGCACAACTTCGTAATGAATACAAATTTTGAACAAAAAGTAAGCTTGTCATTAACCATTTTCTCCTTCCGTGTTCTGTTGGTCATTCAGTATGTACCTGTTATGCAGCAATTACTGAGACATTTTTATAATTTATTATTGGGCTGCTATCATGCTGGATTCTCTTTGATTGCAAGGATTTAGAGTCCGCATATTAGAGCTCTTTGAAAATCGACAAGTCATGTCCTCATCATCCAAAAAACGGCTCTTTAACCTGGTTATGGTTGGAACTTATGAGTACTGAATACATGACTTTGAATGCATTTAGTCAATCTTCCGCTCCGTCTTTGTACCAGATTGTATCCCAAGGCCCACTTTTGCTGCTCAACCTTAAGAAAAGAAAAATATTAATTCAAAAAAAAAATCTCAAGAAAATTTTGTTCGAGTATGCATACCCTACACCTCCCTAGTAAAAAAAATTAAGATAGGAGAGAAGAAAAGGTAAAAATGCAACTTGATGACAATTCAGATTCATCCAACATGTCCTGTATGTTTTTTTCCTTTGCTCTTTGAGCTACGATTTGAATGAGTAGGACTAAGGGGTCCTAATACACGAACATGAAGTTTCCCAACTATCACCTACAAAATGAATTAAATACTATACCTCCAAACTCCAGCTACAACACGCAAAGCCATGAAGATAAACAATCCAGTCCAGACTCCAGGAAGGCCTACTGGGGCAGCCACCAGAAGGAAAGTTGAAGAAACTAGTCCAATCAGCACCTACCCAAAACAAAATCCAAAAGAAAAAAATAGGACACGAGGAAATGAGTTCATAGGAAACAATCACATGGAATGAGTAACTATCTCTCAATCACTGAACTAGGCAAATACCATTGAGTAAGCAGCGTATCCATAGTCTGATACCCCATAATAAAGCCCGTCAATAACAAATGCCAAAGCATTCACTGGTTGAGATCCAGCAATAAACTGCATGTGTAACTAAATGTCAGGAATGCCATATGACTTGTGTATACATGCTTCCACAGAAAGAATGGAGAATTGCACAGCATATAATGAATATTTATTAGTTATATTATACTTAAAGGCTACCGTGTTTTAAATACCCATCAATCACAATAATTTTGATACTGTCCAAAAACATTAGCTTTCAAGGTATATCCACACTAGAGGAAGAACAATCAGGCAAAAAAAACAAACAATAGAAACAGACATCCAAATGAAATGCATTCTTCTACTTTTCTGAACAAACTTCTTTCCTAGAAAATGCCCTATAGTGCTTTCAAACATAAGTATTTCAACTTGGAGTTGGCACTCACGACTAGGCCAGTCAGACCCATTTCTGTCAGGCTGAGTGGCTGATTATTAAAGTCAATCCAAGTCAGCAAGGGAGTAGCATATAAAGCCTACAAAATGACAATAAAGGTCACTTTCTGCAAAACTGGTTTCTTACCCATATACCAGAGCGAGCAACATCCACAACTTCTGAATCTGTGCTAAATAAAGTAGAAAATGATCCAAACCAAAAGAATAAGATCATGGACAAACTGAATCCTGCTCCTAAACCAATCTGTTTAACATGTACAATAGAGTAGGAGAAAAGAATTCTGGGTCAGTATAAGTTCCAATCTAACTAAAAGAAGGTATGTAAGAAAGAAGAAAGTTATTTCTGGTGACAACCTGTATCACTCTGTATATAACAAGGCGTGCTTGTTTATAATTTCCCACGGAGTAACTACTGGCAAGAAGTGCCTGTAAAGAAATGTCATTTTAAGATGACAGGTAAGTTTCAGCCAAATAAATTTCATAGGCCTAGTAATTTTGACGTAGTTAGTTTGGATCCCATCTTCAAATAATATGAATTCTACTAATAATAGATCACATCATCTGTATCATTTGAAACTGCATATGCAGAGTCAATTCTTCCAATCCTGCCAACTGCTTTCTTTTTTGGTAATGTATTGTATTTCTTATTTCTGTTAATACCATTTCAGTATCTTGGCAAATGGAAAAGTATCAAGCTCATCATGTAAAATGGAATGCCCCCCAGTTTTCCTGATATGGTAAGGGAAAGCCCTCAAATGTTCACCATAATGGATTTCCTATTATAAATTTTATTCTTCTACATTCATGCAATTTTGAAACTGGGTGAGATGAAATGCCGTTGAGATATTTATTGATAATTAAAACTAGTATAACCTTGGTGTATCCAAAAAAAATGCAATTTATAGTCCAATGCAATATAATTATCTAACCTGACCAGCAAGTGCCAAAGCATCAGTGAGCAAAGACACAGACAACCAAACTTGCATGCAAATTTGATGACCAGCCATAGGTATAGGGCCCTGCTGAGCTGCCACAGATGTTGACAGTGTCACAGTTATAAACACAGCCAAAGTCCTAGCAGTAAGAAGACCACCTACAAAATGCAACAGTCAAAAAGTAAACATGATGCATCCCTCCTTATAGAAGTTGTTAACCAAACAAAACATTTTGAAGCTAATGAAACCGTACTCCATTCCGATAATAAAACTCTATTAACTAATTTGCAGGAATTAAGAACATTAGTCAATTCAGTCTGTGATGAGACCCAGAGGATGAGTGGGCTTCATGAATCACTAGCCCATGAGGGTAGTAAGACAAGATGGGGAAAAGTGTATGTGAGAAAGAAGAATTGTATGGCTAAGGTGGCATGTGAGTTACGGGTAGAGCAGTTAGAGGAGAGAGAAGAATATATGGGTGAGAGAAATAATTCAATCATGGAGGGAAGAATGGGAATCCTATTTGTTTTCGTTTTTGCTATTAGTTAAGGGAGGACGTTTTATGGTAAAAAGAGAGGAACGGGTGAGACAACTAAGGAACAATAAATTAAACAGAGACCCAGGGACATAATGGACAATGTCAATGGAGAGAAAAGAAAGAAATGAATATAATCAACACCTCGAAAGGGGGCTGGAGATCCATTAGCCATAATGATAAAGGATAAAAAACCATAAGAGGTAAGAGACAAGAAAGGACACTAATTACCAAATATATGATTGGTGACAGCAAGATCGAAGATCCAAAAGCTAAGATAGGTGGAGTGAGTGATACTTGTGAATGAAGTGTCTATGTGCACAACAGAAGTAGTGGAATTGGAGGCTTGCCATTCCTCGTACCATTTGAGGAAGTCATGAAAAAGTGTCGGAAGTCTGAAACTATCAAAGGGAGTGGCACCAAAATTAGAAGGCATAGGGGTGGCAGCCTGAGAAGTATGAACTGACAAGGGCAATCTGACAATTTATAAGATTGATTAATTGTATGACTGAATTTGTGATAATGATAACATTTGGAACGACATTTGTCTAATTTGCAAGGGCGATTGTTATCATTATACTAAGATACCAATGCTAAGGAATCACAAAGAAGACAAAAGAAGGTATGTTAGGTGATAACTTGCACGACACACGTGACACGGTGGGGAACAAACAATGTTTAGTGTGAGAAAAATTTAAAACGCGTAATCTGATCACAATTTGACGAATACTCATCACGAAGCCCATAAAACGCCATCAACATAAACGGTTTGACTTTGCTCTAGTTCTTAGGCGGGAATGGCAGTAGGAGACAATAGTTCATAGAAATCATGTAGAAGATCGTGAACTTTTCCTAAGTTTTCAGCCATGAGGCTATCGAGGCTCTTAGGGGTGATGAGACACTCATGAGATTTTGGCAAACACCATAGAGGCAAAGAGCATCGTTCATGTGCAACAATCAGATTTCTTCCTAAACCCCAATTCATGTGTCGTGAACACGAAAGATCAATTTCAGAAATGGGACAATAGTTGACTTAAGAGCACAACATACTTGTGCATCAACTTTCAACTATCAAGGGTGATCTTTCTAATCAATGGAGGACATTGTCTTGGTGAGTTGATCAACACAGTCTTGCCCCTTAAGCCAAAACTTGATGCAAATATATAAAATGAGTCCTGACCATGAAGCCAAGACTAGATTGGAGGAGATGCCATTGAGGCAAGTTTGAGGCCAATGATAATGGTTGGAATGATGGTTGAACACACTACCATGCCTAGTTGCCAATGACGGACAAAAAGAGAAGTACCCCTATTTCTAGACACACATGAGGGTGTGTGGATGCTTCGATGGTCATGAGTTTAACGGCACACACTGATCACCTAGGCAAGGCAACTCTAATGTTGGGATCTCTAGTTAATGTGGACTACAATAGCATAAATGGCATAGAGCAGGTGACAAAGGAGGGCATGACACTAAAAGGATGCCAAAAATCGGAACAAAACATGATTTCTCAAAAAAACAAATTAGCAATGATGGACAGCCAATCCAACAATAGGGCAAGTATTCAACTAGGCTCTCAATACTGTGCAGAAATAAATGCTAGATATTAATATGATGGAATCTTTGTGTTTCACAAGCACAACAAAGGAGCACAATATATATAGAATGTACATTGCTTTGCATAGAGATGAGCCTAGGCCCATATAGTAAAATATATCTAACATAACTCATATCTCTAGTCAATGTGAGACTAAACTATCACCTTTATAGTTACAAATAGAGCAACACCAAAAGATGCTATGACTAAGGCAAGCTAGGAGTGACCACAATTTAGGCCGCTTTCCAATATCATCACATTTGATCATTTCATTATCATTACCAACTTTCATTGAAGGGCAAGGACAGAAAAAGCAACAATTGAACTTAATTGTGAAAGACATACCAGATTTCAGATAGCTAAAAAATTTTCTCCCATCAAATTCAAAAGGGATTAGCAACACTTTGCCGCTCAATTTCCATAGCAGTATTAAAGCTATTAAGTATCTGGTGAACACAGAAATTCTGTTAAAATAAGATCACATGAATTAAGGGATGTGTGCAAGTGCACTGACAATACTAAGTTTACCACATCATTGACGTACTCAGAGATCACAGTAGCAACTGCAGCTCCACTAACACCAAGGCCAAAATGAAATATTAAAATTGGATCCAGTATGGCATTAAGAAAGTTTCCCACGCCTGACATTCCAAGACAAGCCTTCATTATTTACACATCAAGCAACACAATTTGTTGTTTCTCATTCTGATGGTAATTTGTACGTGTATGAGAAGGTAAGTATCAATTATCAGTAGAGAGTCTTATTTTATGGTTCAATTAGAATGTGATATTTCATATTGTAATTTACGAAGATATGTAGCTTTTCTTTCCCATTAGAAGGGTTGCATGGAGCGTTTCGCAATGTAAAAACATGAAGCTGCCAGCCAAATTGTACTGTCAATTTATATAAAACCATCATATAATCACGTATTCCCCATTACATTGTAACTTTTAAAAAAATGTAAACTTTGTCTTTTTTCCTGATTCGAAAACGCACAAGTGTTATTTCTTGTCAAAATTGAACTATTTGTTAACAAAAAAAAATTGTCAGTTAAAATTATTGAGAAAGTACTGTTGGTAAATGAATACTTTGTCACTAGTTTTATTTGTATGTAACATGAGTAGAGAAAGAGAGTAAGCTGATGAAATACTTGCCAACAGCATATAGAGGTGTCTTTGTATCCAAAAATCCACGAAAGGTGCCTTGTGCAGCTAATGCAAGCACGATTGCAGGAGAACCAAAGGCCCTCAATGAAAGAAACTGCTCAGCAGGTCCACGCATTGGAGAATCCTGTACAGCATATAAAAATGGAAAAACATTATGCAAACAAGATTATAAAAGTAAAACCCAACTATATAAAACTAAGTGCTCATGAAGAGAAGCCAAAAAAATGTTCTTCTTTTTAATTTCATGACACCCAAACCAACAAAAAATACATATGTGAATTTTCTTGCTGTGCATACCATAATACTGATAGCTAATGAATGCAAGGGAAGATTGTATATTTATATTGTTGAAACTGATTGTTAATATTATGTTTCTCAAAAGTCAAATCACGTAGAACTAACAGTTTGGTTACAAATACAGAACATAATTGGTGTTTAAAATTTTCCAAATTGTTACAGAACACAAAAGAGCTACCTCAAACACATTTCATATACCAATTAAAAGCTATCTTAAAACAAAACATAAGTCTACATCTGAAAACCCCTTGTTATTATGTTTTCCAACATTCAGATGATTCATTAAAATTACTACACAGCATAAAATAAGAGTAAGAAAAAATTGTTCGCAATTATACAACATAAAAGTAATAAAACAAGCTTAGGTGAAATTAATTACAAGTTCATAAGCAAACCTCATATGTAAGATCAAAATATTAGGTAAACCTGAAATATTGCTTTCGGTTAAGATAGATTGTTCATGATAGATTTATCTTGCCACACGGAGGTTGTCCAAAGACATTTAGATCTAAACCTGAATAAATACATGTGCTTCAGTTGTTTTGAGATAATAATTCTTCTTTCTTTTTTTATTTTTCCTTTTCTTGTGCTGAGTGGGTGCGTTTGTTTAGCCAGTAAAATGCAGAGTCAGAAGAAATTATAACATAAGGAAACGTAACATCACTTATATGAGAAAATATATGGATCAATGATTGGCCAAGTATGACATACAGCAGGTATACCCATGATATTCATAAGAATGCCAGAGCCCAGGGTAAGCGCCACAGTTTCCCCAATTCCAAGCGCTGCAGCAAGTGCTAAAGAGGTAGAAACTGAAGGAAGGAGCTTCTTGCTTTGGTACTTGCCTGAGAAATCACGATAACACCCACATGAGATCAAAACTATTAGTAGATACATCTGAACAAAATAAAATTACAACTAGGTCCAGGAAAATTAGACATTACTAAAACTTTGTGTTACCAACCATTTCCATCTTTTGGACTGGACTCTACATCCCTGTTAATCACTGCCTGCTCCTCCGCCACAAAGGATGTAGTAATATTAAGTAATGGAACATTGAATGCTTTTGACACAAGATTAAACACAGAAGCTGAAACCCCAACTGCAGCCAATTCAACTGCCCCTGCATAGAGGGATTTGATTAAGGGAGAATTCTCTCTTCAACAGTAATTATTTATCAATCCAAATCAGAAAAAACAGAACCAGAAAAAGCAAATACTTGCTACTACGACAAGTAGAAGGTAAACTTTGGTTTGAGAAAAAGCTGTGTATAATTATTGCAAAATCTGTTTCATAATTTTGAGAATTTGTATAAGAAATGACAAAAATGAGATTTAAATTGTTTTCACCATTTCTAGTATAGAGACTAAAAAGGGAAACAAATATGGCCTTTTGTAAATTTGTAATTAGTAGTAGTAAAAGTTGAAAACGACTACCGAATTGAGAATAAAAAGCTGCAGCCAGCTAACTCGTTAATCTTTTTTTTTCCGGAGTTAAAGTAAAGCTCAGATCATAAAATTCACTTCCACATAAGTACCTATATGGCCAACAAACGCAGTGTCAATCAATGAAGCAATAGGATCAGCCGCCAACGCCAAAGCAGCAGGCAGGGCAATGAGCACTATCTCCATCGCAAGTTCATCAAATTTAAACCATCCATTACTGTTCATGGCCCAATAAACAGACTTCAAAGTAAATATATGCTTCAATAAAAGCATAGACGATAAATTCATCAAATTTAATCCAGACAATCAAAGCCCAACCTTCAACTTCCCAAACCCCAAATGTATAAATGAACAAACAAACAAATAAAATCCCAAAACAAAGCATAAACAACCAATTCATCAAATTTAAAACCCAAAAGCCGAGAAACAAATATATAGAAATAAAACTTCATTTTTAATACGAAAATTTTTCACTGTCAATCAAATAGAAGTAACTCTACATGTAAATTTTTAAGTAGTTATTTTAAAAGTGAACATTTTTATGGCTACTTTGTTCCTTTAGTACAAGTGGGAATCACCGGTCACAATCTTTTATCTCTTTGTTAGTTTCTTTCTTTTTTTCATTACATATTATATATCATAAACTTAAAATATTATTAAAGATATAAAAGGAAAACAATGATCAATCAATTGAGAAATAGAAAGTATTTAAATTACATAGAAAGAAAAACATCATTAGACTACAAGTATTTAAGTTCAATAAAAAGTAGATAGAAAGAAAATATGAAAACAACTTCTTCAGGCTAAAGTGTTCATAAACATAAAATCTCTCTCGTATTACCTCCTCCGAAAACTTCTTTTCGTTTTTAAATTATGCACAATTTTAGTTCTCGGATAAATTTCTTTTATGTTTCCTTCCTATTTGGTTTTACTGAAAGTTCTCAGAGAGAAGTATATACAATCAGACCTGAATTCTAAGATTGAAAAACTTCAAACGTAAAACAAAGCAAATATCCCAAAAGGAAGAAAAAAAAAAGTTCTAAAAGGATAAAAAAAGTACCTGAAACGACGACGCGGGGAGGAAGATGAATCATGAGAGACGGAGGGAGCTTCAACGGAATCAGTGTTGGCATTGTCGTTCCGGGAAGAAGCTCTGGATGGAACTCGAACACGAGGACGCGCGAAGCAATGAGGCTCAGTGGTAGGTTTCAGTTTCAACTTTGGGGATTTGAAAGAGCGTGTGCAAAGAAAAGTAGTAGAGAGAGAAAACGCCATTTCTGAATTTGGAGCATGAGAATCAGAAATGAATCAACGAGAGTGGAAATGCCAAACAGAGCATAACCATATATTTATTGCATTTTCATTTTTATTTTTATTTTTTGTCTTTGAAGTTAACTGTTTGTATGAATTTATTTGGTCACAAATATCTGGGTTGGTGGGACATAACTGGGTTTCCTTAATTCCATAGTTTTGGAAAAATATAAATATTTATTTTTATATAATTAAATTTAGAATATAAATATTTATTTCTTTTAACATGTTAATTATATTCTAAATCTAGAATAAATATATTGAACCAAGTTTTTTCAATAACTTTTCAAGGAGAAGATTAGATGAAAATGATAGGTTAAAAGAATGTAAGAAGTTAAGAATGTATAACATCCTAAATTTTTAATAGTATTAACACTATTATAAAATAGATCACATCTCAGTAAAACTAGCATAATCATGAGAAAAATATATATAAACTTTTACAATCATACAAAAGTAACCATAATAATATATCATATATTAGAAGAGAAGATAAAATATTATTCAACACAACTCTAAACTTGTATTTTGAAAATATTAAAAATAATTTGAGTAATTATTAAATATTACAATTAAGAAAAAGAATTTGAATAATTTTGAATATTTTATCTGCGTGAAGCTGGTTTCACAGAGCAGCGAAAACCTCCCTCTCCCGACAGTGGAGGGATAACAGGCTGCTGTATCATGGCCTTGTATGCCCAGTGAGCCTAGTTTACTTAGACCACCCACTGTTTTACATTTTACCTTCCCTCAAAGTTGTTCTCCTCCAAGAAGAGTTTTATTTTCTACCTGAAAATTTCTCGACATTCATATGCAATTCTCAGATTTTTCAGCCCATCCAATGCATCGGGATATATAACGGATATAATTTCTTCATAACATAACGAAAAATCTTATTTAAGAGAGCATTTATGTCAACTCTTTCGAGGTGTAACAGTTTTTCATGTGAAACAGATTTTGGCACTATACCATTGGCCATTGGTCAGTATTTTCAACTTCTGATTATGTCAACAAGTTTTAACAATGTTTAAGGGAGTAGTTTATCATAGATTAAAAATAATCATTTATTAGATTCTTGAGCTTATTTTCCAAATTTTATTCAGTAAATCTAATTTAATTAGTTCATTCAAACTTTAATTGGATTTATAAAAATCATTTTAACATTATTCAGTAAATCCAATAAATTCAAGATAACTATCAAAGTTATCTGATATTTATTTCTCATACTCAATTAAAACCGTGTGTCACACCGTATACCAATTTTCCAATCTTTAATCATTTAAAATCACTTACATTCAAATATCTATTTTATTCTAAAATTATTTATAAAAAAATTAATCTAAGATGTTCAATAAAATTATTCTGGTATGGAACCGATCTATCATGCAAGATATTATGTTGTTCTTTTATTACTTCTCAAGATATATTTATCTTTAAATCTGAAATATCTTCATCAAGTGTAATGTAATGAATTATGGGAGAACAAATACTTACTGTTACTATGGGTTCATACTCGATCGAACGGTAAACGTGCAGAAGAGTCGGTTGATCAATCATACCTCTCAGGTCAATGAACCGATCGGTAAAAACAGCCGTTAAGGTAATCAATGATAATAACTATCGGAAAGTTAATGAAAATAATTGTCATTTATTGACAATTAATAATGTCATTCATTGGTGATTAATGAGTCAGACCTAACGGTAAGCTCATTATAATTTATAAATATTTGTCTTACAAAGAGGACAGGTAACTGGAACCGAACTTTGAACTCTGATAACTAATGTTGATTACAAGATTATTACGCAAGGTCACTGACTTGAGCGTCAAAAGAGAGAAGACAACGCAATAAAAATATGTGATAATGATCTGAAAACTGCTAAGTGGGGCTGTGGAATCCTCCAATAAACTCTACAAACAACCTATACCAAAAAAAAAACTGCAAACACCACTGCAAACAACGGCGAAGTCAGTTAATGATGGATGAGATAAATGTGAACTGGAATGGGAAGAATCAGATTGCGGCAGGAGATGGCGATCTGAGAGTTGTAGTGGACTTAGTAGAGTTCCTGGAGAGAGATAGAGGCAGGGGAGCAGTGTAGCGAAAACCTAGATCTTCGCCGTCGTCGTCGGCAGCAGTCTGAGAAGCCATAACCTGAGCAAGGCACTGAGCAGCGGCTTTGGCAGCAACATTCTGAGTCCTTTTGACGGTTGAAATTCCAGTTGTAGTGAGGGTGAGGGAGGAAGAATGAGAATGGCCACGTGAGTGTTAGATTCTTATTGGCCAGCAACGTGGCAGAGAGTGCAGAGCGCAACTGGCATCAAACCTAGCATCGCCGTTTGCCACATCTACTAAAACTTAACGTCGTCCATTTTTAAGGACTAATACTAATAGTTTCAAAACTACGAGGACTAAAAACCATCAAAGTTTCGAGTAGGGACTAAAACCAAAATCGTGTGATACTTAAGGGACGAAAAACATATTTAACCCTATTTTATAGTTTTTATAATTTAAAATTAAAAGTGGTTAGAACCTGACAAGGTTGAACGCAACTCTGAACCATCATGTGCATAATATTTTATAATTTAAAATTAAGAGTCGTTAAAACCTGGCAAGGTTGAACGCGCAGTTCTGAATCATCCTTTGCATAATATTTTATAATTTAAAATTAAGAGTGGGTAGAACCTGACAAGGTTGAACGCAGTGAACCATACTGTGCATAATATTTTATAATTTAAAACTAAGAGTCGGTAGAACCTGAGAAGGTTAGCTCTGAACCATCTGTGCATAATATTTTATAATTTAAGAGTTGGTAGAACCTGACAAGGTCAGAATATTTTTACTCATTAATTTAAGAGTTGGTAAAACCTGACAAGGTCAGGATATTTTTACTCACCAAAATATGAGTTAAACAACTATATTATAATTTGTAAATTATAATGAAAACTTGAACATCTCAAGGTTGGATGTATGGATGAACGTTCTTGAAAGTTCTTTAAACAAAAGACATGTATTTAGGAATTATTACAGAATTTTTTACTCTTGTTGCAAAACCTAGTGTTGATCCGAAGTAGCGATGTCGAGACCGAGCGTGCGTCTAGTTCTCGTGGCTTCATGGGGATGCCACTCGGCCCCAAGGTAGGCACCAAAACACCATAAAAGAAATTAATGGTAAATTTACTTATTTTTTTAAAGTTTTATCACCATTTTATAAAAATTTCAATAAATTTGATAGTATTTATTTATGATATATGTGTTTCATTAGTCAACACACCACATGACATCTTTCATAGAGACATAATCATCTTTTAAAACTTCAAAACGATCTAGACTCAATTCCAAAATACTCATGCATTGAATTGAATACTATGCTAGTCATGCATTTGTTATAAATATACTTTACATTAAATTCAACATCAACAACATTTACCTTGTCCAAAAATTATAATGACAAAGTTAATTTATTTTAGGTTTAAACCCTCCCTTGGTCCTCATTTTTCTATGAAAATCTCAATTCGGTCTTCATTTTTTCATTTGTCTCAATTGGATCATGTTTTTTGTAAAAATGAACACATTTTACCCTAACTGTTAACTGGTCTCAGACGGTGTTAAATTAAGGCCACATGCTGCAGAGAGAATGTGCTGATGTGTGATGTGACATTATTTACTAGAGTGTTTTGATTAAATAAATAGTGGTGATGTGACATTATTTACTTCTCTTTATTTAATATTTTTAAAACCAAGTTTTGTTTATTTTTTATTTACTTTATAGAAGATTTTTTTTTTTAAGTTTCATCACCTACAGTGGGTTAGAACACAATTATTCTTCAGAATTAAATTAGTTTATTTTTAATTATTTATTTTATTTATTTGATAACTTTTATTTAATATTTTAATTTTCAAGTTTTACATAATATTTTAATATTATCGTTTTTCTTTAAATATAAATACATAAATATTAATTTTTATAAAAAACTATTTAAAATAATTTTTTATTGTAATCATTAAATATATAATTTTATTACTTTGAAAAGTTAAAAATATAATATATATATATATATATATATATATATGTTGAATTTATTTAAATTTAAAAATAAAATAATTTTAAAAAAATATAATAAACATATTTTAGTTTAAAAAGAAATGTTTTCTCTCAAATAGTCATCTAAAAAATATTAAATAAGTTATTATTTTTATATAATAATTTGATATAATATAAACAATTTTGTATATTAATATTCAATTAAAATACACATAATTTTATAAAAATTTTAAAATTAAAAAACTAAATTTATAATAATTTAGTTCAAAATAATGACGAGTGAATATGATTAAATTGGATTATCAATTAAATTAATATATTTTTTAATATATTATTAATTAAATTGGATTATTAATATATTATTAATTAAATTAAGGTTTAATAGCCAATTTAGTCCCCACTTTGGTTGAAAAATCTCAATTTAGTCCCTCGTTATAAAAGTGTTTTACATTAGTCCTAACTTTTAAAATAGTGGGTCAGATTGGTCCCTTTCGTTAAATATAAGTTAACGAAATTAATGTATGATGATGTGACACAGCTTAAAGCTGATGTGTTAGATTGGTCCCTCGTTAGCTTTAAGTTGTGTCACATCATCATCCATTAATTTTGTTAACTTATATTTAACAGAAAGGACCAATCTGACCCACTATTTTAAAAGTTAGGACTAATTCAAAACACTTTTATAACGAGGGACTAAATTGAGATTTTTCAACCAAAGTGAGGACTAAATTGGCTATTAAACCTTAAATTAATATATTATCTTAATATAAAAAATTGAAGAGAAAATATCGTGATGTGACTTTAAGGATATTCACTTTAGGGATTTCAGCACATTTTCTCTGCACGTAAATGAGGAACACACATCAACACATTTTCTCTGCACCACGTGGCCTTAATTTAACGATGTTTGAGACCAATTAACAATTAGGGTAAAATGTGTTCATTTCTACAAAAAAATATGACCCAATTGAGACACAACTGAGATTTTTA